TGTGATTTCATACTTTTTTATTTGTTTGGATATATTTTTGTTTGTCATCTTGAATATCATATTCCAATATACTGTTTACTTGTTGGGAAAAAAATAGTGCAGTAAAATAGCAAACCGTCAACTGCGATCTTTCCCATTACGTCACAGAAATGGGCGGAGCTTAGAGGCCTGTCTCGCCTCCGACCACGAGACAGCTTTTAGTGTCGCGGCGCCTCTCGCGACACTCTTAATTGCCAGCGGAAAAGATGCCTTATATTTCAGTTTGTTTGTGATGATTTCATATTTTTCTGTTTGTTTTAATCTTATATATATTTATTTCAATTTTCCCTAAATCTTTGTCCTCATTTTTTTACTTATTTTTAAAGTTTTAAGACGATTATAGATTATAAATAAACAAAGCCCACGGATATATACAGAATTGGGGGAAAGAAGTCTAGTTGACCTCTGTAGGCCTACCTCTAGAGGCGTAATCTTTCTTTCTTTCGTAAATCTTTGCTATTTGGTACTTTTACATCTACTTTCGGCTGTGGTTTTATTTCCCTTTTTTTTTTTTTTTTTTACTTTATTTTACATTTGTATTTTCATTTATGTTTTTTTCAGACATGTGGGTCTACACCTGCTCAGCTGTCAAGGAGATAATTAGTAGGCCTACGCGACCTAACCTGATTTCCCTCTTCCTTGAGTATTCACTATTTTTTTTAATAAAAGCTATAAATATCAGTGCTTTCAATATTAATACTGACCCTACGACTATCATATCTGTAATTAGCAATACTGATATCAAATATATTATATAAAAAACTTTTTATATAGAGAAAAAGGTTTCACTATTTTTTTTATAAAAGCTTTTAATATCAGTGCTTTCAATATTAATACTGACACTACGATTATCATATTTGTAATTAGCAATACTGATATCAAGTACATGTATGAAAAAATACTTTATATAGAGGAAAATATAATCTGGCAAGATATTAATTAACTCTTTGTGGATTTAAGACTTATGGAGTCATCTGTGTGTTAGTGCAAATAACAAAATGAGTTAAATATTCTCACTTCTAACAATAATACTTTGTTACTCAGAAATATTACTTCCTGTTTTTATTTTATTCTTTTTTTTTTTTTTTACTTTATTTTATTTTACTTTTTATTTTATTTTATTTTTATTTTTTTACTTTTTATTTTACTTTTTTTATTTAATTTTACTTTTATTTAATTTTACTTTTATTTAATTTTGCTTTTATTCAATTTTACTTTTTATTTAATTTTACTTTTTATTTAATTTTACTTTTCATTTATTCTTTATTTTATTTCACCTTTATTTATTCTTTATTTTACTTTTACTTTTTTTATTCTTTATTAATTTTACCTTTTTATTTTTTGTTATTTTACTTTTTATTTTTTTATTTTATATATATATATTTTTTTTTTTTTTGCACGGGCCAAAATAAAAACATTCACGCCTCTACGAAGGGATGTTCATTCCTCATTCCTCACTCGTTCCTCATTCTCCCTCCGCCGCCATCTCCCATGCATGTTAATCTATCATTTTCCTTCCATAGAACTTCTAGCAATTTCAGGCTTGGTCGATCATGAAAATAAGTAACCACATCTTCGCTTCTATTATCAATTACTCTTATTACTCGTAGTAGTAGTAGTAGGAGTAGAAGTAGTAGTAGTAGGAGTAGAAGTAGTAGTAGTAGTAGTAGCAGTAGTAGTAGTAAGTAGGTAGTAGTAATAGTAGTAGTAGTAGTAATAGTAAAAGTAGTAGTAGAAGTAGTAGTAGCAGTAATAGTAGTAGTAGTAGTAGTAATCGTAGTAATAGCAGTAGAGTAGTATTAGTTGTAGTAGTAGTAGTAGTTGTTGTTGTTGTTGTAGTACTTACTTCAGTAGTTACTTAGTTGTTCCATTGTGAGTTTTTCTACCATATACCTTATTTTTTCCAGGAAGCAAACATTTCACTCGACATTCAGATTTATTCTCTTCTTCGCAAGCTTAATTGTATATTCCAAACGTATTGTGTGCAGTCTGTGACTATTTAAACTGGCCAGAAGATCATTTCTTTTGACTCTGTATGTCTTCATTTGTTATTGTTTTTACATACTAAAATAGTCTTATCTGTTAACATATCAATTTTTTGTGTTGGTATGTGAGTTTACACGAGGTAAGGATAGCCAGAGATGTATTTGTAATCATTTGTCTCAATAAACGTCAATTCTCTCTCTCTCTCTCTCTCTCTCTCTCTCTCTCTCTCTCTCTCTCTCTCTCTCTCTCTCTCTCCTCTCTCTCTCTCTCTCTCTCTCTCTCTCTCTCTCTTTGTTTAAAAGCGTTTATCATATTATAATACGTTTTCTATGAACCCACCGAATCTCTTTAGTTTTCTTTCATCATAGTATAACATAGGAAACTTTTCAATATTTCAGTAAAAGTTTTTATCATTACTGTCTTTGATCACCTTCTGCCCTTTCGTCGTCGTAGGTTTTAGGGATAATTCAAAAAA